GGGGGGGGGGGCATGCTTTGCTGTAACAAAATACCCACCTGATACCTGCCATTTACATGTGCTGGTGGTCCAATGGTTACATGCTTGCCAGCGGTTCGAACCTAGCAGAGGCCCCGACTAGGACAGGAAAGACCTAGTAATTTGCTCTCCTAATGTCCAGTCCAGGAAATCCTCGGAGATAATTCTACTGTCATAGGGTCACTAGGAGTTGCAGTGACTCACACCAAATAACCACAATCGGATTGTTAATGATCTTTTAAGTTGAGTGAAATGACCTAGTTCGGACTTACAAAGGGGGAACCTCCAGTTAAACACAGCAGGTCCAAGACAGCCTATCACTGCTTTTCCCTGAAGCTCCTCTAAGTAACAGTAAAAGGGGTAGGTGGAGTAACTAAAAAAAAAAAACTATGGAAAAAAAAAGAAAAAAGAACTAAGAATGGCAGAGACAACATTGTGAAGCTAAGGCACAGATATCCAGTGGGGTTAACAGGCCTATAAAGTAGAAAACCCTGCCAACAGCGGAGAAGTCCAGAACCAGACAGCTTCAAAGAGAAGGACCTAGGAGTCCTGATTCCAGGAATCCTAGGAGCAGGTAGAGAAACTGGGCCAAGACGGGAGCTGGGTTTAAACCATTACCATAAAAAGAAGAAAGCTGAAAGTCGTGGCACCCTGATCACGCTCATCAACAGGGGGTCACTGTTGCCAAGCTTGTATTCTTAAGACGAAAGCTTAAGAGCATTTCTAAATATGAGCAGATACTCAAGCCATGACATTCAGGAGACGGTCACTGGCAATAGACTCTCTCTCTCTCTCTCTCTCTCTCTCTCACACACACACACACACAACTAACTTGGAAGGAAAGCTAAAGAAACTTAAGGGGGAAAAGCTTACTATTTTCTAAATTTAAAAGAAGAGCCAAGTAAACCATGCTCTTCTTGGCAGCACTAGTCACAACAGCAAGAGGACAGAAACAACCTAGCTGTCCACCAAAGGAGGAGGACAGTCACCATGTGAATACTCACAGCGGAACGCTATACATGGTTAAAGAGTAACAATGACTGCAAAACACCTTACACGGTGGACGAACCCAGAGGACATTACGGTGAGTGACATTACTCAATCACCAGAGGACAGATATTGTCAATGAGACTACCATTAACACAACTCACTGGCTAGAGGGTAGGCAAGCACTAACCTGGGTGAAGAGGGCTCCCTTCACTCACTGTCACTGAGTCATTCCGACGTGTGGTGACCCTATAGGACAGAGTAGAACCGCCTCTGTAACTTTCCAAGGCTAACTTTTTATGGCAGTAGAAAGCCTCATCTTTCCCCCAAGGAGTGGCTGGTGGTATTGAACTTCTGATCTTGCAGTTCCAGGTCGAAGGAGAAGGCAATATAATGAGGTTAGGGAAAAATGATGGAAGTAGGGGAAGGATTAGATTTCTAAGAGTTGAAAGGTAACAGGAATGAATACTGTTATACAGGCAATCCTGAAATAGTGACGATCCAGAAGCTGATGCTTGGACAGAGTCATAGGTGGACCAGGTGTGGAAAGGACAGTGGAGTGAATATATTGGTTTGACAGAGGATGTTTGTCTATGTGTATTATCTTTGCTGCAAATACATCCATGAATGTGGTGGAGCACACAGGGACCAAAAATGCTCACACATTATCAGACATCGTGAAGGAGGTGCTGGGCGGTGTCAGGACCACAGGCTTGGGGACACCAAAGTCAACTGGTATAGCATAGTTCACAAAGACAGTGTTTTAATTCCCCCCCACCCCACCATAGTGAGTATGCCAGGGGTCTTAAAAGCTCGTGAACAGTCATCTAAGGTGCAAGCATTGCTCTTTCCCCACCCAGAGGGTAAGAGTGATGGACACAATGAGATGCCTAGACTATGGAGATGGTGCCTGGCAGCCACTGCCAATTGTTCTGAAAAGGATCACATCAAAAGGTCCTCAACAGAGTAGGTGGAGAGTGTGGAACAGAACTCAAAAGCTCATGAAAGAGACCAGGCTTATTGATCACCCAAAGAAGAATACAACCCTTTAGTCAGTGACCTTTCAGGTCTGGAGTTAAACACCTGTTCTATGTTAGGATAATCAACCATTTAAGACTAGAAGAACAATGTTTACCCCAGGTCCAAGCTCAAGAGGGTTAGGAAAGGAGGCATGGAAACGGGAAGTACTGGGAGGAAAGGGGATAAATGATGTACTGAGGGGATAGAAGTGATGAGTTGAAACAAGGTGTATGCCTTGTTGAATGTAAAACTGATTACCTGCTCTGCAAGCCACCACCTAATTCACAATGAAAAGTTAAAAAAAAAAAAAGTTGAGACTTTGGGGGTGCAGGGAAGCATACTATCCATAAAGAGAAGATATTACATAAAATATAAAAGAACAGGAAGAATGCCATGTTTAAAAGCTCAGAGAACAAAGTGGAGTTCTAAGATAAGGAGAAATATTTGAATGAGTTCCACAAAATGGGAACAAAGAAGAAAGGGAAAAAAAAATAAAATCAAAGAACATTAAAAATATTTTTTCCAAGCTGGAAAGACATGGATTTTCGGATTGAAAAAGCCCAGCAAGGATCCAGAACAAAAGAATGAGCCATATGAAGGCGCATCATTGTGAAACTTCAGAAGGCTATGAAGAGAAAGATCCTACAATCTTCCAGAAGAAATAAAACAGATCACATTGGCTTCTGTAGCAATACTGGCACAGAATCTATTTAAAATTCTGAGATAATTATGAATTCTACAGTCAGCAAATACAATTAAATGACAAGATGAAATCAAGATGTTTTCAGATATGCACAGCCTTAAAACACATTGACTTCCCATGATCTCTTTAAGACAGCCTCTGGAGGATGTCTGCCACCAAACATACCCCTCTGAGGGTTAAGACCCAAGAAGATTTCTCTAGAGAATTACAATTTCTGCCAACCCATCTTCAGTATATTGCTAAATCAACAGAGTAGCTATCAATTTAGGAAACACAAAATGCTAAAGTATAATTTTACAGGCATGAACAGAAAACTGGCAACAATCTGAAAGGTACAGTCATTTAAATGGGTGTTCATTAGGAAATGCCACTAAGACCAGTTTTGCCTGGTTTCTGACGGAATGCACACACATTTAAGCATACTTCTATAAACCTGGGTCATTCTGTGGTGGAGTGAAATTTCTTAATATGGCTCTTCCACCCAAGTCTCTGACCCCCAGCAAATGACTGGGTGGGCCTATGTAAACAGGGCCACACTCTTTGTGGGGATTGGTCAATTTTCATTACCATCTTCCTGCCTGTAAGGAAGAGGCCATCCAAGATCTCTCTGAAGTGGCAGGGGCCGCTGAGACCAGATGTACCAGACACTATGGCACAGAGACCCAGAGGAACAGCACTGAGAGTATGGAACTACGGGACAGAGTAGCCGGCAGGCTGGCTTCCTAGCCCATGGAGGCAGAGGCCAAGAAAGGGACCACTCAGCTGAGAAACTGAGGACAGCAGAGAGACTTGGCTGCTGGCTGAGACGACCATGACTATACCATTACTGTTTGCCAACCCTGACTTGTGGTGACCTACTGACTTCCCTAATAAAAGGCTGTTATTTGTGAGTATCACCTGTGAATTCTGTGTGGCTACTGCAATGAGCTATCGATCCCAGCATAGAGATGGAGTGGCATGGGAGGAACAGTTCGTGTCAGAATAGGCAATAAAGATGGATGGACCACGAAGGCTGGCCTGGCCCGTCTTGTGGCAATAGGGAAGCCAGAGATCAGAATATCCACCTCAGCTCTGTCTGTTGCACATTCATAGTGAAGGTGTGATTAGCTACACTGTGTGTAAATTACTCTAACTGGCTAAGCATTCACATTCCACTCTCTAGAGGTCACCCTTGACGTCATCTGTAAGGCCTCTCAGTAACACATAGAAAAAGAGACACCGTCTTTGTATATATAATAAACGACAGTTAATAAATTTGCTATTTGTACCTTAGAGCAGAGCTTCCAAACTTTTCAGTCTACTACTGCCCCGTGACGAAGGG